GATGATTCCGTCAGAGAACTGCTTCCTCACTCCTGGGACACAGGAACAAGGTATTATAGCTGGGCATCACACCCAAGACTAGGCAACACTAGCTTAGGTGAAAAACTGGAACTACTTTATTGAACAGAAATACAGGCTTTTTTACACTTCAGAAATAGGGGCAACCCCACATGAACAATAAAAACAAATATTACACATTGGGATAAATGAGATAATGAGGTCAAGTTGACACCAGACTAATCCTATCATGTAGGAACCTCCAGGAGGACCAAACAGTAGGTGACTCAATCAACCCAATTAACAATGGGACAAATACACAAAGGTAAACACATCACACCTTAATAAACAGATTACAGCAAATGACCTCAGCATCAGGTTGTTTTGAGCTGAATATATAAATACCTGCTTCGAGTCTCTGAAGCAGTCAATGCTGGTTTGGGTACAGAGATTTCTCAGGGTCTGTGTGTTTTGGAGAGACATGGACTTGAATACAAAGTAAAACTACTCCAAAAGGTTCCCCAGGCACACACCTCCCAAAGAATAGAGCCTCCACAGATGCCAGAGTGCATGGTCAGTAGGCAAGAGGCTAGCCTGAAGTCCTCTCCAAAAGACCCTGTCCCGGTTGGGTCTGTCATATGCCTATAAAGCAGAAACTGTATATTTACCTTTCCTGTCACCCATGCCACTGAATGCTCCACAAAAGAGGAATCACCAGGAAAGTTCCTTCTCTAAGTGGCACTTCAGGGGATGGTGAACTTGTAGTGATGTAGGAGTTGGGGGGCAGGAACCACTGAATGCTGAGGACTTTGCAGGAGATCAGTATTACCAGAATGGTCAGAAGAAACTTCACCTAATGATTCCTTTTTAATGGCCCTGGCAGCAGGCACAGTCTTTAAAGTTACTTTGTTTACAGGGCTGCTTTAAAATTATTGTAAGGCCTTCCATTGTTGCCTGAGTCTCATGTGAGACAAGGAAGGGTGGGGAGAAGAGCTGCAGCTGGGCACAGCACTGGATCAAGAGAGGATTCAGGTAAGTGTTTGGAGGGGTACAGCAAGTGATAAAACATTTTTTACCTTTTATCTTGCAGAGAATGCTCTAAGGTAAAAAAAAATAGTATAACTTTAGAACCACTTTAATTTTTCAGCATCATTATGCTCTGCATTCCTATCAAGTCAAAGATTATGATTGTGCTGGTACTTTTAATTTACTCAAAATAGTTCTCATTTCCCCATGTTCCTAGCAAAATAAAAATTCCCTATAACATTTTCTGTTTCTACTTTGGGAGGATTAAACTTTAAAACCTGAACTTTAAAATTGAACTTTAAATTGTGTTTTTGTGGCTTTAACCATAATAAAATAAAAGATATATTCCAAAAATGTATGCCTAAACCAATTTACCATCTATTTATATCATATTACCCTGCAAGCATTTTAATAATAAAACATATAACGTTTATGGTTTTTAATACGATTAGTAAAATTACTGTACGTGAATTTCAACAAAAACAAATTATTTGAATTAAAAGGAATCTGTTAGCATACACATGAGGGCTGCCATTGCTTGCTGTATTTTTAAGTGAGCAGGCTCCAGGTCTTCATCCTGATCCTGGTTTACTAGAGCAGGGGTCTCCAAACTTTCTAAACAAACTTTTCTGGCATCAATGGGAGTAAACATCGTCACATTCAGTATTAGAGGGGAGTATTAATGCCCCATCACTGGTATCATTGGGAGGTATACTGCCCCATTTTTGGTGTCAGTGGGAGAAATGGTGACCTCTTTTGTTGGTATCATTTGGCAGAATAGTGTGTCTTATCAGTGTAAGGAATAGTGCCCCAACGGCTGGATAAAGGTATGCAAAGGGCCTCATCTGGCCCCAGGGCCGCAGTTTGGAGACCACTGTACTAAAGGAATTGACTGTTGACTTTGCAAAGGGATTTGTAATTTGCAGAGGAATTACCCGAGCTTAATGAATGAGGTGAAACGCTGCTGACTTCCATCATCCAATCATCCAATCATACAAGCAAAAATGCTGATTTTTCTTTTCCTTGCACAGGATTTTGTATTCTTTGTAAGGTGAAATTAGGTGAAACTGGCAGCATACAGGAAGGGAGTTTAGACATTTCAGATGAGACTGGCTGTATGCTTGTTATAGATTAATGAAATACTATGTACTGAAATTAGGACCAGAATTAGAGTGGGGGGCATGCAGCTTAAACCCCTTTTTGCTGCATGTACACTTTTTTGCGGCCTCACAGAAGTCCGTCTTCTTCTGTGAGGCCACATATATGCGAACATGTGTTGGTGTTGGGAGCTTTCTGCACAGTGCACTTCCAGCCCAGAATCCAACTCTGAACGAAAGCCCCAGATCCCGTACTAACAATCAGGAACCTGGGAAGTCCACTTTTCAATCTTCTGTTCACTGTGATTTCCTCTGACTATCATAGTGATCAGTCACTGTATAGCCCACCCTTGTGTGTGTTTTCTCCTCTGAATGGAGAAAAAGATAGAAACAGAAAAGTGACAGCAAAAAAAGATCCGAGTGGTCCATCGAGTCTGCCCGTTTTGGGGTTTTCTTTTGTGTGTTTTTGTATATGGGGGAGGGCGTGTTTGTTTTATGTTTTGTTTTTTTTTTGTGGGGGGAGTTTGTTAACTTTTTTGTTTTGACTATAGATCTGTGCTTGTCCCACGCATGTTTGAAGCTATTTACTGTTGACTGGCTCACTACCTCTGCTGGAAGTTTATTCCAAGCACCAACTACTCTTTCAGTAAAATAGTACTTTCTGAGATTAGTTTCGAACTTTCCTCCAGTTAGTTTAAGGTCATGTCCCCGTGTTTTTGATTTTGGTTTTATGTTAAAAATACTGTCCTCCTGGACCTTATTCAGCCGCTTGATATATTTAACCACTTCAATACTGGTCATTTTTACCCCGTTCCTGCCCAGGCCAATTTTCAGGTTTCAGTGCTCTCATACTTTGAATGACAATTGTGCGGTCATGCAACACTGTACCCAAAATACATTTTTATCATTTTGTTCACACAACTAGAGCTTTCTTTTGATGGTATTTAATCACCTCTGGGGTTTTTATTTTTTGCTAATTTAACAAAAAAAGACCAAATGTAAAAAAAAAAAACAAGTTTTTCATTGTTTCTGTTATGAAAGTTTGCAAATAAGTAATTGTTCTTCATAAATTTAGGCCAAGGTGTATTCTGTTACATTTCTTGGTAAAAACAACCCAAATCAGTATTTATTTAGTCTGTAGGAAAGTTATAAAGTTCACAAACTATGGGATATATCTGAAAATTGATCAATCCTGAAGTACTGACAGACAATTTAATTTCTTCAGGCCCAAAAATGCCAGAACAGTACAGCTATCCCCCAAATGACCCCTTTTTGCAAAGTAGACAGTCCAACATACTTCATAAGAGGCATAGCGAGTTTTTTGAAGTTGTAATTTTTTTTGTCATAATTTTTTTGGAAAATGAAGGAATTTAAAAAAATATTTTTTTTTTTACATACTGTCACCAGTGCAGTACAGTGTCATCATATAATTGGTGTGGCGGTGATCAGGGACACTGACTGGTGACAGTACGAAAAAAAAAATGATAATTTTTTTTTATTTTATAATTGTTTTTTGTTTTTTATTAAATTTTTTTTCTCTTTATTTTATGATTTTATGACCAAAGTAGTATAATGTTACCATAGTAGCATTATACTACTTTGCGGAAGTGATCAGTATTTTTTTTTCATTTTACACAATATGATTGCTTATAGAAAATAATTTATTTGCTATAAGGAAGCATTTAACTGAATTAAATCAATTCATTCAGGTTTTTTTGTTGTGACTAGCTGTGAGTGGCCATGGCTAATCACATGACACAGATGGGCTGTGATTGGCCTAGTCTGTGCATGTGATCACTGTGACACAATTGTATACAATGGATGGCATGAAAGGAAGCCATCCATTGTTTACAACTGTAAAGTGACCTGCTGTGATTGGTCACAGCAGGTCATATGCTACTGGCAATGGGCCGGTACACAGATCTGTCATTGGCTGTGTCCAAAGTATACAGCCGGTGACAGATCTCGCCACAGCGTGGACCTGCGCGTTCTAGGAAGCACATCATATAACGCCCACCCAGATCTACAAGAGTCCCGCCCAGCCGTCTATTTGCCGGACAGGAAGTGGTTAAAGGTTTAAATCATGTCTCCCCTTTCACTTCTTTCCTCCAGACTATACATGTTAAGTTCCTGAAGTCGCTCTTGATATGTTTTATCCCCCAGACCTTTCACCATTTTTGTTACCCATCTCTGGTCTCATTCTATCTTATCAATATCTTTTTGTAAGTGAGGTTTCCAGAACTGGACACAGTATTGTAAATGAGGTATAACTAAAGATCTACTGTATACAGGGGAATCAGGACCTCCTTACTCCTGCTGGATTGATCTAGGTCAGTGTCAGGGTTAGGGTCAGAGTAAAGGTTACAGTCAAAGGTCAATGGCAAGACCTAGGTGGCCATGTTCACAGGTCAGGGTCGGTGTATTATATGGTAGAATCAGAAAACATTTTTTTTAATTATTAACAGTTAGTGTCAGTGTCAGTATGTTTTACATTAGATAGGATAAAAAGCAAAATGAGTATTATTGTTTCAGAGCCCTACTATGGGTACAAACAACAAATAACATACACATATGTGGCATTGCTGTGATCACCAGGAGCAGGAGATTTTATTTTGGGTTGTTGTTGTGGTGGTAGGTTATGGTTATAGCAAACATACAGTTAATTAAAATAAAATACTATTTTGTGACAGTTTTCCATTAATCGCTTTCCTGCCACCCTATAGCAGATATACTGCTACAGGGAAACAGGGATGCACAAAATCACATATATATACATGATTTTGGATTTCCATTCACGGCCACGGCTGTCAATCACCAGGTCCCGGCCAGTGATTACCCACCAGTGCCCAGTGATTACCTCCGACGGGGAGGAGGACTGTTTTGTTTACTAACAGTCCTCCTCCCTGTCAGCTCAGGCCCATTGCTTTGGATGGCTGTGCACAGCACAGCCATCCAGAGCAGTGTGATTACAGTGAAGCACACAGACACCGCCCCCTGTAAAACACTCCTTGCACACAGTTAACCCTTCTATCGCCCCTCATGTTAATCCCTTCCTGCCCAGTGCCATTAGTACAGTGTCAGTGCTTTAGTGTTCAGTGATCACTGTATTGGTGTCACTGGGGATGTCAGTGACACCAGTTCAGTTCATCCCAGTGTCAGAATGTCCACTGCAGTCCCACAGTCCTGCTATAAGTCGCTGATCGCCGCTATTACTAGTAAGAAACAAATTCCAGTATCTATACCGCCATTGTAAACGCTATAACCTTCACGTAAACTAATTAATTTACACGTATTGAGATTTTGTTTAGCAAAGACATGTCACAGAATACATTTTGGTCTAAATTTATGATGAAATTTGATTTTTACATTTTTTTACTGGACATGTTCAATAGCAAAAAGTTAAAAATATAGTTTTTTTTTCTCAAAATTGTCGGTCTTTTTTTATAGCGTTAAAAATAAAAACGGCACAGGTGATCAAATACTACCGAGAGAAAGCTCAATTCGTGGGAAAAAAGCACATAAATTTCATTTGGGTGCAGCGTTGCATGACTGTGCAATTGTCAGTTAAAGTAACGCAACGCCGTAACGCAAAAAATGGCCTGGTCAGGAAGGGGGGGGGGTAAATCCCCAGGAGGGCAAGTGATTATTATTAATATTAACAATAATAATAAATCATTTACCACCAAATGAAAGCCCAACTTGTCCTGAAGAAAAAAACTAGTTATAATTCATATGGATACAATAAGCAGGTGTGATGATATGTACAGTTATACCAACCCATGTCAGAGTTGCAAGACTGTCTTCAGGCAGTAGGAGTTGCTTTACCTTCGTCATGAAGGGGTTAAAATTTAGCCAGTAATTGCCCTTCCATAATTTGTCCTTTTGTGTTTAACCACTTGCCAACCACCTGCCCGCAATGTACTGCTGACAGACGGCAGCTACAGGCAAAGCAACAGGTACATTGCTCTGGCTGTACTAACATGAGGGGAGCTGAGAGTGAGCGGACGCGCAGCGCTCCTCACCCACAACCAACGGACAATCACAGCACCATGTACCATGTGATCTGCTATAGCCAATCACAGATCACTATTATTTTGAACTGTCAAGAACTTAATTCATTCATGACAGTTCAAAGGAAGCTTTGCATTGCAGGAGCAATAATCTTATTGCTCCTGGAAAGCAAAGTGTAAAAAAAAAAAATCCCTGATCACCCCCCCCCCGTAGAGTAGTACAATGTTTACATTGTAAATTCTACTACTTTGATAAAATAATTTTTTTAAAAAAATATGAAAAAATAAAATAAAAAAGTATTAAGAATTTATAACAAAAATGTTTTAAGGTTTGTTTTTTTTAACTACTTGCTGACTATCTGCTCTCATTTTGCAGGAAAGCTGCAGCTCTGGGCAAAGCGACATGACCTTATGTTGCTTTTTTTGGGGGGTGTAAATACACCTGCACACCCCACTGCCCCCCTGTCGGTCCAGGGAGAGAAGAGAAAACACCGCACTCTGAGTAAAATTGCTACATTTTACACACACTCATTAGATTAGCACTTTTAACCCTTTGACCACCCCTATTCACCCTTTGATCACCCTGTCACCTAGCCAGTGCTATTGGTACAGTCTCAGTATATAGTCACTGATCACTGTATTATTGCCACTAGCAGCATCAGGTAACATCAGGGTCTGTAAGCTCCCCTCCCAGCCAGGGTCAGCTTGTGTTAGATTGCCCACACACCATCGCACTCACGTTATAGGTCACTGATCATCGCCATTACTAGCATAGTGTTTGTACAGATCAATATATTGATCACGAACAGAACTACAGTATACTAGTGCCTCTTTTGTATACTACTAGCATTTGGCCCCTTCACTGTTTTTCACGGAAGATTTGTTTGTGGGCCAAAGCAATTTATACGCACAAAAGATCACCACCCACCCAAATTCAGTTCTTGCCAGACAATTTGCATGGAAACCTATCACTCCAAGGTGTTTGCTAAGGGGAATGGTGAGTATTTTGCAGATCTCATTTGTTGCCACAAGTTTTTGGAAAATGAAGAAAGAAAACAAAAACATTTTTTTTTAAACCCTGTGACAATAATGATATCTCAAAAATTCTCACCATGTCTCTTATCAAATTCCTTGGGATGTCTACTTTCCAAAAAGGGGTCATTTGTGGGGGGTGTTTGTACTATCCTGGCATTTTAGGGCCTCTGAAACTGTGTTAAAAACATTATAATTTTCCCAAAAATGTGTGGCAAAATAATACAATTTTCCCAAACTACTTTCACAGAAGGGGTCATTGGGGGAGGTATACTTCCCTGGCATTTTAGCACCTCAAGAAATGTGATAGGCAGTCAGAAAGTAAAATGCGTAAATTCCAGTATATATCCCATAGTTTATAGAAGCTATAACTTTCGCACAAACCAATTAATATACATGTATTGAGATTTTTTTACCAAAGACATGCAGCAGAATACATTTTGACCTAAATTTATGACTAACTTGAGTTTAATGAATATTTTTGTATAACTGAAAGTAGAAAATATCTTTTTTTTTGGTCTTTTTTTGTTTATATCACTAAAAATAAAAACCCAGTGGTGATCAAATACCACCAAAAGAAAGCTCTATTTGTATGAAAAAAAGTACAACAATTTTGTTTGGGTATGGTGTTGCATAACTGTGCAATTACCAGTTGAAATAGCGCAGTGTTGAATAGCAAAAAATGGCCTGGTCAGGAAGAGGGATACATTTTCTGGAGGGCAAGTTGTTAAAGCATTTCATAGACTGTGTACACCATGTTGCCAGTATAATTCAAAAGGAAACATCAGACTTAGTAATAAGCTCCCAGGAATAGTTTAAGAAAAAATAAAGGCTCTTCGGAGTTAACCAATTATCTGTTTTAACAAAGGATTGTATGTACACCAAACAGCATCATAATTATTTATATAAGGCATAATTTGAGTACTGTTGAGAGAAAAGCTTATTGTGAGATTCATAACGTCAGAGCTGAACATATCTATAAAGAATTTAACTTAACAAAGAATATTTGGCTACTGATTTTGTCTTCAAATATTTCTCTTTTTAATACCAGGAATCTTAAAAATGATAACGTTGTACATCACAGAGTGAATTTGATAATAGCAAACATAATACATGGACGTTTCCACAATACTATTTATTTCAAAAGGTATAATAGATAAAAGAAGACTTTCATTAGAAGGAAAAAAATCAATATCACTTTAAAAGTGAGCAAACAATGCAAGCGTTTGACTATTTTGAAACATCTTATAGAGTTATTAATGTATAAAAATAGAATTGTATCTAATAGGCTGATATACAACTCACTTTTTCAAACTTATACCAAATGGAACCCTTGAAATAATTTTCAGGTCTTGGGAAAGCCCAGGTTAAAAGTATTATATGTGCATCCCTCAGCAACATTAGTGTGGTCAGTAAATTGTAGATGTAATAATAAATAACAGTAGAATAAGGCAGTATACATAATGTATTTTACACTCTGAGAAATTAATTTTAATGCCTATAGTTTTTTTTTTCACACTAATAGAGATTTCTTTTGGTAGTGTTTAATCACCACTGGGTATTTTACTTTTTGCTAAACAAACAAAAAAAATAAAACATTTTGAAACAAAAAATTTTTTTCTTAGTTCTATTGAAAAATTTTGCAAACAGGTCATTTTTCTCCTTCACTGGTGTGTGCTGATGAGGCTGCACTGATGGGCATTGATAGGCTGCACTGATGAGGCAGCACTGATGGGCACTGATAGGCTGCTGTGATGGGCACTGATAAGGCAGCACTGCTGGGCACTGATGAGGAGGAACTGATGAGGCTGCACTGATATGCAGCACTGATGGGCACTGATAAGCAGCAATGGTGGGCACTGATAGGCAGAACTGATGTGCACTAATAGGCAGAACTGAAGGGCACTTATAGGCAGCACTGAAAGGCACTGATAGGTGGCACTGATAGGCAGCATTGATAGGCACTGTTTCATAGCACTGATGGAAACTGATTGGCAGCACTGGTTGGCACTGATTGGTAGCAGTGATGGGCATTGACTGGCAGCACTGATGGACACTGATTGGCAGCACTGATAGACACTAACTGGCAGCACTGATGGAAACAATTTGGCAATATTTGGCAGAACTGATGGGCACTGTTGGGGCTGCACTGATAATCAGTGCCCTGATTATCAGTGTAGATGTCACCTTTCACACTTGCCGGTTGTCAGCAGTACTTTCCTCATGCTGTGACAGTATTCAGCTATAGCGTGGTCGGCAAGTGGTTAATAAGAGACCACATAGATGAGTTGTTGCTAGAAAATATATTTTAAGCAACAGACAGCATGGATTCATGAAAGAAGAAGCTGTCAAACAAATCTGATTTCTTGTTATGAGGAGGTGAGCAAAACCTTGGACAGAGGGGTGGTGATGGAAGTGGTATACTTGGATTTTACAAAAGCATTTGACACCATTTCCACATATGACTAATGTGTAAAGTAAAATCTACAGGCTTGGAAAAATCTGTTTGTAAATGGATAGAAAACTGGCTAAAAGATCATATTCAGAGAGTAGTAGTTAATGATTCATACTCTGAATGGTCTAGGGTTGTTAGTGGTGTACCCCAAGGTTCAGTGTTGGGACCCTTACTTTTTAATATACTTAAGAATGATATAGGGTCTGAGATTAAAAGTACTGTTTCAGCCTTTGCAGATGACACCAAGCTGTGCAGTGGAATAACATCCTTACAGGATGTCTTCAACTTACAAGCCGACCTCAATGCACTGTTTAATTGGGCAACTATGTGGCAAATGAGGTTTAATGTTGATAAATGTAAGGTTATGCACTTGGGGGCTAAGAATATGCATGCATCATACATACTAGGGGGAGTACAACTGGGGGAATCAATGGTGGAGAAGGATCTGGGGGTTCTGGTAGATCACAAGCTTAATAAATAATGGCATGCAATGCATG